GGGGGAGTTCAAAGCACCCAATCCATTTGGCTTGGTCTTTCTTGAGATGGACAAAAAATCAGAGGTCCCGCCTTTTTCTAGTAAATGTAGTATGTAGTACTTTGGATAATATCACAGTATACAAGAATTGTCGACAAGGGTATTACAATCCACACACAAAAATACAACACAATACAACACAACACAACACAATACAACACAACACAACACAATACAACACAACACAACACAATACAACACAACACAATACAATAACTTATCAGACTGTTCCTGTGACGTGGTCGTGTCATCTCGCTCTTTGGTGGTGTTTGTTTTAGTAGAGGTTTTACGGCGCTCGCAACTGCATAAGGTCATGTGAGCGCCAGAAGATTAGAGGTGTTACAAGAGAGTAACAAAAATCAAAAGGAAGAAGGAGAGATAAGGACGACAGATGTTTGATAGGAAAGAAGGAGCAAACCACACCAGAGCACCCGCCAACCACCCACTTTGGTGGTGTTTTATGACGCTCGTAACTATATAAGGTCATGAGCCCACGGGATAGCCTACATTATTTTAAAGCATTTTCAATTTGGTAGGAATTAATTTTGAATTTTGCCTGAGTGGCGGCCAAAGCCTACTCATTGATTTCAGGACCACCAAGGCTTCTTTAATGTGCGCAACACACAAGACCTCCGAAATGTCTTCGTCCTTGTCTGAGAAAGCTAGGTTTCAGCTCCCTTAAGATCAGGGATGTAGCTGAAAGACAGCAGTAAGAAGGAGCCAAAGAGTAGCAGTAGAAAGGCAGCAGAAATAGTCAGAAGCCCAGAAGGCAAAGAGGGAGCGGGAGAGGGGGGGCAGAAAGTGGAGACGAAAGCAGGCGACAGAACATAATTAGAGAGTAGGAAAGGTGAAAGTAGAACATCTTTTTTTACAGAAGAAAATGTTTCATCACTGTCAGGTTTCAAACCCGGGACCTATTGAATGAGAGGTGAACACTATATCTCTAGACCACTAGAGCCCCTGAATTGACATTCGGGTGGTGTGAGAGTAGACAGATTTATTGTGAATGTTTTCTATGAGTTGATAAACAGACCGGTAATTAGTGATGGTATTATGTGTCTCAACACGGTGGAATAGGGCCCTTGTCAATGTTTAAGCATGCACAGTTATTGGTATATCTTATGTCCTGTTGCTCGGATAAACACAACAGAAGTATCATTTACTGAAATTATCTAGTGTCTGTTGTTTGACATTGTTTTGTTTTTTTGTAAAGTGTTTTACGGCGCTCGCAACTGCATAAGGTCATATGAGTGCGCGGGACACACCTAATATTTTCAGTTGGTAGGAAATTTTGAATTTTGCCCGGGTGGCGGCCGAAGCCTACTCTTATCGATTTTAGATCACCAAGGGATCTTTAACGTGCACACCTTGCACACGGGCCCTCCGAGATTTTTTGCCCTTGTCCGAGAAGGCTAGGTGTAGATCTTTCCTACCAGAAGATCAGGGGTGTGGCAGAAAGACAGCAGTAAGGAGGAGCCAAGGAGTAGCCGTAGAAAGGCTGCAGAAAGAGTCAGAAGCCCAGAGGAGGGGGCAAAGGAGGTGAGGGGGTGGGGGCAGAAAGTGGAAGTCGTTTGACAGCTTGTTTCCCAACCAGTGTCTCAGCTAAACCATACAGTAGATCTCTACAGTGGTTTGATTCTTTATAAGTTCAAGCTATGAAAACTTTATTTTTCCTGTAAAGTCTGCCCATTCTCAAGAGAGAGAGCATCAAAACACAAAAGTGGGGGTAAAAAAGGAAATACACCACTCAAGCTAGAAACCTCCACAGCCAGGAGAAAAGTGTTGCTCCTATTTCACATTCCACGTTCCTGGTGAGCTTTTTTAACACTCATCAGTATCTTACAAAAAAACATTCAACAGTACAATGAAAAACACCCCAAATACAACAAAGAAGGAAATGATGTGTGAGAACATAAAGTTTTTTATTTCCTCATTCCATTCTGACCACAAACAATTTCAAGAAGTACAAAATATTAGTTACACATTTTAGAGGCACAACATATTTACTCTTCATCATAATCTCTTGCATTCTTTACCATCTTACTTAATAAACCATACCTGTTTATTAAACTTTATTTATATTCACTAAATATATGTCCATCCAGCACAACTCACATACTTCAGGTCTTCTTCTATTGCTCATTTTCTTCCCAGTTATCTCCCTCCCTCACTTTCTCTCTCCTTGGTTTCGCCTGTACGTCTGTCAATTAGTCTGTCTCAGTCCCTTTTTTAGTCAGTCTATTTCTCTGCGCAAAACCTCAGCTATAATTTAACGTTACCGCACAACACATTATCATTGACAAATAAACATACACCTGTACTCTCACTAGTACACTCTTGCTTCTAGCAACAAGCCACATACATGCTGCTAGAGTCCTGCTGTCATGACTATTGAAGGCTCCCAACTTTTATCACAGAGGCAGGGTAATAAATCTGATATTGGTACCCTGAGTCAAAAGTTGAAGTCTTCACTGAAAGAGCAACGCAGATCTCATCAGCTCTCTTGTTTTCATAAAATCGTTTTAACCAGTATAACAATATTTCATGAAAGTGCTTAAATTCCCTCACTATATGTAACTGAACTGCAAGGTCAAGAAGGTTTTCACATCAAAAATAGAATTTGTTTTGTCTGTTCAAAGCTAGAATAATTACAATAATTAAATATTCACTGAATACATTCAAAGTAAATATCATTAATACTATAGACGAGCACCATTGGCCCATGTCATGTTGTTGTTAGCGATCCAGTAGCATCTGAGCGTTAACTCTTCTGCATGATGCCATTCGGTAATAGCTGCATGTCTGTTCTAATTGTTGTCTTGAGGAGTAGAGGCAATTAGATGTGTGGGGTAGCTTGGGAAGAAAACATTCCCTTAAATCAGTTAGTTTTCCACAGAAGAACAGATGATGTTCCACTGTCTCTGAGGGGTAGTCATATAGTGGGCAGGCAGCAGACTGGCCCATGTCATACCAGGCATAACTTTCACTTAACTCTGCTGGTTCTTCTCATCAATCATTACCTTACTCCTCAGAAGAAAATTTGTTTTTCATAATTCCAATGGGAACAAAGCAGGACATGGAAGTTTTGGGCTCCTCTTGCAATCAACGTCTTCTCTGAAATTTGTAATGCTCTACAGTATAGAGACTGCCCTTGAACTGAATAATAGTTTAAGAATGGCCGTCCTTAAAACTTTGGGCTTGCCTTTGCTCATCCCTATTAATAATAATAATAATAATAGATAGCATTTGTATAGCGCATATCCCCGCTCAACAGCAGGCTCTATGCGCTTTACACTATATTATTACCCCAGCAGACCACAGAACACTCCGAAACATTCTCAGCTTCCCCGGAAGCATACAGTGCGAGCAGCCGATTAAGCGCTCAAACACTAACAAACTGACAAGATCTTTCGCTGTCTATAGCCGGGTACCCATTCCCACCTGGGTGAAGTGAGGAAAATTCGTGTAAAGTGCCTTTCCCAAGGACACAACGTCGTGCCCTTGACGGGATTCGAACCCACGACCTTACGGTTGCGAGTCCGACAGCCTAACCACTAGGCCACCGACGCCACTGTGGGCCGGGAGTAACAATCTATTACAGCTACACAACAATACCTCCTAAAGAATAACATTGAACCCAGATCAATTACTTCACTACTGAAAGTTGAACTTTGCTTCTTTTCAACACTATATGTGAGGCAGATTTGTGGAATCAGGCTCTCGTCAAAATAATGAAATCGAAGAAAACAGCAGTTTTCTCCCTGCTTAGCAAATTTTGTTTTTTAGCTCAACACCTTTTATGTCCATTTACAAACACATTCCTTTGAGGATTTCACTGAAAACGTTGATTAAAGGCACAAAAATATAAATTTACAGTTTCCACGGACTCTCCAGCTTTGGAATTTACCTAGCTTTGGCGGCCATTTTCTCGCTAATTTTACCTCTTAAACCAGGTGACCCCCACCTCCTTCAATCTAAAATATCTCCACTTCTATTGAAGATCGACGGGTAATTTTTTCATTGAAAGCAAGACAAATGAACAAGCTTTAAGATGATACAAATAACTCAATATGCCCAAAAATTGACGAGAGCCTGATTCCACCACGCTGCCTCACATATATATATACGGGTCCTTTCAGAGCCAATATTTGTGCGTCTCAATACAGGATCATTCAGATCCTCGACAAACATGGAACTGTTTGCATTGAGTAACCTTTGAGTAACTCTGACCTTAACCAAAAGCTTCACACACATTTTAAATGATAATAATACTTGTTTTGGCTTTTGCAGTCACATCATAACATGCCAGCTTACATGAGGACTCTAGGGTCCAAAGTTTCTGGGAGCCAAAACAAGAAGCCGAAGCCTCCAAAGGTAATCTAGGCAGACCATAAATGGCCACGACAAAGTAACAGTCGTTGTCGGTCAGTATTTTGTTTCTTTATGACATCTCCTCAGGGGTTATTTAGGCACCTTCACAAGCCAAACTTTGGGGATCTGCGCGGGGTGAGGGCAGGTGTTTTTGGCTTCTTGTGGCCAGGAGTAACAATCTTTGTACTGGGGAGAAATACAGAACATTGAGAAATATTAAAGACTCAGCTATACACACACACACATATATAGTAACAGGATGACAATAATTATCGTTATTATCATTACAGTGGTCATGTGTTGTGCAATACAATAAAAGAAAGAGTCTTAAATTGTTTTTGTTTTTTTTATATTCTTCAGAGCTACTGATATTTTTTAAATATAGGGGACAGAGGCAAAAGGAACGTAGTTCCCCAAGCATTTATTTAAGCAGGTGGATGTCCTTTGAAACTAGAACTGAAAATCCTCTAAATGTGCATTTACAGAAACTTTGCCAAACTTACTACAGTCAGAATAAGGAAATGTGACTTTCAAAGCAAACCCCAGCCTTCTTTTCATGCAAAAATTCTTCTCAGAGTCGCAATAGATCAGACTTCGCTCTTTGCCTTTGAGCTGCCATCAGTTCCTCAGTACTATAGTCAAGTCTCGGCTCCCCCCAAAAAAGCACTTTTTCCAGGTGACTCCATTATTGTCAGCAGGAGAGTGAGAGTGAGAATCTTAATCTGGCTAGTATATAAAACGTTACAAACACTTCTGTCATATACGAGAGGAAATGTGCCTGAATACCTGCGCACAGACATGGGTGCTGCCTCCATCTGTTCCTTCCTGGCTTTGATGAGCTCCTCTGCCCTTTTCATCTCCTCCTCCATGGCTTTCACTTCATCATCCTCCTGTTTCTTTCGTTCCTACAAGAAAGATAATAATAATAATAATAATAATAATGGATTGCATTTATACAGCGCATATCCACTTATGTAATGCTCTATGCGCTTAACATGAAACATACTATGGAATTACAAATCAATTTTATAGACACTTTGTATTACATACATGTGCACACACATACTCACGCACGCACGCACCCACACACACATATATACACAAATACATACATACGCACATACAAACTCAGGATGATCCACAGCTTGAATGGATATTGTCTGATCGAAATATGATGTAAATAGAAATCAAAATAGATATCAAAATAAAAATTTTACTGAGACAACAAAACATCAGTATGTAATGCAACATGGTGGAATAGGGCACTCATAAATTATTTGGCATACGGAGTTATTGGCATTATCCTAAAGCCTGTTCCTTTGCCTTGCCTTTTAATGAAAAAAAAATACAGTGGAATCCTGTTATAACGAGAGGGAGGGGACCGGTGCCAAATGTCCGTTATAGCATGATTCTCGTTATATGGGATCCAGTAATAAATTCAAGGGAAATAGTAAAGTAGGCCTAATCTATGAGGCTAGGTTTCGGTTTATTTCTTTTTGTAGTCTCCCCTGATGATGATTTGGTTCAACATGACCTTTAAGTCTTACTTGATCAAAAGTCGAATCAGGTTTCTTTCTCTAGCGCTAGCGATGTTGACAACTCGGCGTTGGCGATCAGAAAGAAAGTTCTCTAGGCTAACTCGCAGGCTGTGTTGTCCCCCACCCCACCACACCCTGTGGTGCGTTCCGTCTGCTTGCACAATGGGAACATACCACACCCCGCCCACGTCTCACATTCGCTCCGTCCATCACAGTACAGCACTATGACCTCTCCATCCCCGCGTCGGAGAAGTGAAAGGAATGGTAGGCCTAGATAATCTAGACTAGGCTGGCCTATCACACGATGCGTTCTGCTTGTCTGTGCACGCCACACTCTCCCCACTCATTCAATCCGGCCTTCATTGTTGGCACACGTGAGCTCTCCCATTCTTTGTTTCGCAAGATAACCAACAAGTTTCTCAACTGGCGAGGTTTTACATGAATAAATGGCCTATTACTGTGCACAGCAGCAGCAATATTCAGCTATAACCGACTCGCGAGTTTGTCTGCTTGTGTTATAGCAGTATTTGATTTACAAAGATAAAGAAGGGAAAAAAAACAGGCTTTTAGAAAAGTGTCTTTATAACAGACTTCTCGTTATTTCAGGACTCGTTATAAGTGGATTCCACTGTACCCATCTTTCTTGAATAGAAGTCAAGATGTTTGCAATTGAAGAAGGTGAGGATCTCCTTGTATCAGATATAAAATTAACTAGAAAATGGCAGCCAAAGTTTGGAGATTTCAAAGCTCTAGTGTTATAACAAACTGCAAATTTACACTGTCGGTAAAATTCATACAGAAATTTATCAGTTCATTAATAAGGGAAACAACTGTAGATATCATTTTCGTTGCAAGTATTACTCCACGTAGTTACATCCCCTTACGACTGCCATATCTAGAAATTTTAATGTAGAAGAGACGACAATTTTTTCCCCCAGAAATGCAGAGTAGATTCATTTGTGAGGCAGCGAGGTGGAATCAGGCTCTCGTCAATTTTTGAGCATGTAGAGTTATTGGTATCATCTTAAAGCTTGTACACTTGGTTTTTTTAAGGGTGAAAAAAATATCCATTTATCTTGAATACAAGTCAAGATATGTGCGAAAGAAGGTGGGGTTCACCTGTCTTCAGAGGTAAAATTAGTGAGAAAATGGCCGCCAAAGATTAGTTATTTCCTTAGATTAAGAGTCCGTGGTAACTGAAAATTTACATTTCTTGTGCCTTTAATCAACGTTTTTCAGAAAAATCCACACAGAAATGAGTTCTTTAATAGGCAAGAAAGGTGTTGAGCCAAAAAACAAAAATTCGATAAAAATTCACAAACCTGCAGAAAAATGCAAGTTTCTTCACTTTGATTATTTTGACGAGAGCCTGATTCAACCACGCTGCCTCACATTTGGCTTTACTAATTTTTCCTCACTAACCTTCAGTCTTATATATTGCATTGAAAATCAAGCTGTTAAGACTTTTATATAAATATAAAACTTTGAATTCATCCAAAGAAAACTATCTATCAGCCATTTAAAATCTTTCAGATACAAAATTTAAATCAATATACCACGACAGATAAGCTGTAAAGTCTCTGTCTCTCTCTCTGTCTTTCACACACACACACACACACACACACACGCACATACACCCACTCACACACACACACACACACACTCACACATCTACACAAAAGTCCTATATTAGATTGATATACGGACTGAAGGAAGACAATTCAACTGTTCTGTGGAGGCTTACCTGTCTTGACTTGCTGGCGTCCTTGATGCTGTAGAACATGGGGCCTAGCTCGGCCAACCACTGGCCGTCTACAGCGGTCACACACTGCATGTATTCCTGTGGGTGGTCATCATTGATTTTTGTTTTGTTTTAGTAGAGGTTTTACGGCGCTCGCAACTGCATAAGGTCATATGAGCGCCAGAAGAATAGAGGTGTTTCAAGAAAGTAACAAACATGAAAAATAAGGAGGGGAGATAAGGACGGTATATGTTTGATAGGAAAGAAGAAGCAAACCACACCAGAGCACCCGCCAACTACCCACTTCATCATGTTTGTATAAGACAACATCACACTATTCTTTTCAAAAGGCAAACAAGTTTGAATCTCGAAGTAAAGGCTCTTTTAACGAGCGCAGCAAGTAAAGGGTTATAAATCTTCTGGGGGCATGTTACTTTCAGCTTTCAGATCAAGAACAGAAAACTACAAATTTAGGAAAAGGAGCCAAAAGAAGAAAGGTAAAAGGGAAAAAAATTAATAAAGTAGAAAAAGAAACACACATAAATTGTGAGGCACGGTGGTGGAATCAGGCTCTCGTCAAAATAATCAAAGTGAAGAAACTTGCATTTTTTTCTGCAGGTTTGTGAATTTTTATCAAATTTTTTTTTTTTGACTCAACACCTTTCATTCCCATTAAAGAACTCATTTCTGTGTGGATTTTGCTTTAAAACGTTGATGAAAGGTATAATAAATGTAAATTTTCAGTTACCACGGACTCTTAAGCTAAGGAAATAACTTATCTTTGGCGGCCATTTTCTCACTAATTTTACCTTTGAAAACAGGTGACCCCCACTTCCTTCACTCGCAAATGTCTCGACTTATATTCAAGATAAATATTTTTTTTTTCATCCAAATAAAGACAAGTGAACAAGCTTTACGATGATACCAATAACTCTACATGCTCAAAAAATGACGAGAGCCTGATTCCACCACGCTGCCTCACAAATGTCTTTCACCATCTAGGCTGGTCAACATTTAAAATACAAAATGACCAGAAACCAATGCCCTTAATTAAGGCTCCAGTTATCAAACATGGAGCAGAAGTAGTAAATGGAGAACAGTTGTGCATAAACTTTGCAAAATTGTAATCTTTCAAATTTTGTTTGGGTTTTTTTGTTTAAAGGTTGAAAGCTACTTACAAAGAGAAAGCCAGTCTTTTTCTTGTTTCTAGAGAAATTGGGTCATTTTGGTCTCCTTACTCTGTCTGTCTGTCTGTCTGTCTGTCTGTCTCTCTGTCTGTCTGTCTCTCTCTCTCTCTCTCTCTGTCTCTCTCTGTCTGTCTCTCTCTGTCTATCTGTCTCTCTCTCACTCTCTCTCTCTCTCTCACACACACACACACATAAACACACAAAAATACACTGCACACATGGACACAAATGGCAATGACTTATCATCTACTAGGCGTTCTGGTACCTCTCGGTTTTTTTTTTTTACTCACCTTGGAAGTCATGACCAGCTCATGGTACACAATGTAGTCCGGCGTGTAGCCCATGCCAAAGAGAGCGCTGGTTGGGTGAAGGTGACACGGCATTCCAGTACGCGTGTTCACATATTCACCCAGACCCTACAGTAGATTAACAAAACAAAGAGGGAAAGGAAAAGTAAGGACCAGAACTCTATGATGAGAAATTCTTGTTTTGAAGGGCTACTCTTGGTATTCCTTTGAAAGAAATGTACAGGCCTAGGGTCTCTGGTAGTTGTACCCGGTAAGCACAAGGACAAGGAATAAAACTCAAAACATCCTGAACACTTGCAATACATTATTCTTACCCCAAAAATGTCCAAAAATAGATAATGGGTATCTGTTCAAAAGGCTTTCCTCGTGATAGGTAAATATTTCAAAAGATAACACAAAATTGGGGCACTCCGTGTTGTTGTAAGAGAAAACTTTCCGAAAAGGTCATCACCAGTCCACGTATTCTTTGACAGAACCAAGTCTTGAATACTAAAGTGTTACTATGAAAGAGCATGAAGTAAATCCTTTTAAGCCCAGGAGTTGACATTTACCTCATACTTTTCACATACACTCAGGCCAGAGGCGTATATTTGTCCATAAGCTTAAAACTAACAGAGACTGAGGGCCTTTACATTTTTTTCAAAGGAATCCCAAGAGTACCCCTTCAAAACAAGAATTTCTCAAAGAACGAAACACTCCTGGATTTTACAAACCGAAAGGATGAAAATGAAAAATCGAAGCTTACTTCAATGCTTAACCCTATCCATACGTCGTGTTTTACTATCGTATCCATACAACATGGGGAACTCTGTGCCACCACTTAACCCTATCCGTACGTCATTGTTTACTATCATATCCATACAATGTGGGGAACTCTGTGCCACCACTTAACCCTATCCGTACGTCATTGTTTACTATCGTATCCATACGACGTGGGGAACTCTGTGCCACCACTTTCCAAAGAGGGAATTTACTCGTTAATCCAATTCGTACGCTTTGCATAGCAGTCTGTCAAAATGATTTTTTGAGAAATACTAAGTTTCAAAGAGATCTTCGTACTAGAAGTATTCTAAACTTTGAAGAATACAACCCCGGGGGTACAAAATGACCCCAGGGCGTACGGACAGGGTTAAAGTAATAATTCAAGAAATAACCATCTAATGACAATTACAAACACTGCGACAGCTGAGAAGATAAACGATTGGCAGAGACAGGGGACAGTACGGCATTGAAAATGTCTGAGAGGGAGGACAAGGAGGAAAGAGTGGAAAATGTCTGAGAGGGAGGACAAGGAGGAAAGAGTGGAAAATGTCTGAGAGGGAGGACAAGGAGGAAAGAGTGGAAAATGTCTGAGAGGGAGGACAAGGAGGAAAGAGTGGAAAATGTCTGAGAGGGAGGACAAGGAGGAAAGAGTGGAAAATGTCTGAGAGGGAGGACAAGGAGGAAAGAGTGGAAAATGTCTGAGAGGGAGGACAAGGAGGAAAGAGTAGAAAATGTCTGAGAGGGAGGACAAGGAGGAAAGAGAACAATCAAAAATAATACGCTACTGGAAGGGTATGCATGTATACATGCCAGGTTATCAGGTGTGAGAATGTCTATTCAGCCTCATGCGATTATTTAATGGGTCAAAAAATTTCCCAGAAGGTATGTCTTTATATCTCATTAAAGCCCTGCATGAATATTCAATAGGTTGAAAGATTTTTGCACAAAAATTCTCCACTAAGGGTACCTTGAGCCTTGCCGCTTGGTGAAAATACGAGGAGCAGATGCACTTGCGGATGATGTCCCACTCTGTGCCACAGGAAACCAGGTCCATCTTTTGCTGCTCCATAATCTCCCTCAGCTGCTGTTGGACTTCTCGCACCTGAGGACAAGCACAAAGCCACAAAGGAGTTGCATATGTTTTCAAAAATCTAGTTTCTTCACTGAGTCTTGGTTGCTGAGACGACATTGTGATGCATCAGAGAGATCAGTCATATTTTGATAGTGACTGACAAGGATAACTGCAACAACGAAAGAAGTAGAAGAACTAGACCACACCACAGCACATCAGAGAGATCAGTCATATTTTGGTGGTAACTGACAAGGATAACTGTAACAACGAAAGAAGTAGAAGAACTAGACCACACCACAGTACAAACAAAATAACTACTAAACTATTTGAATCAAAGAGAAAAGTGAAGACAAAAAGAGATCCATAAATGTGAAGTGTGCTGACAAAATGAGTTACTTCTCAGATTTTAGACCAATGGAAATAGAAACATTAAATTTGTAGGTTGAAGTTTTACAATTTATCAGTATGAAATGATAAAAGACATGTTAAACTTGAAGAGAATGACATTGGTTTAGAGTCTACAAATATGACCTCTGTGTTGATTTTTGGCTGATATCTCCATTCATGGATTGCGAGAAGTGACTCGTTTTGTTAGCACGCCTCACAAATAATTTAAAGAGCTGCTAAAAAAGTAACCCAGAAAGAAGTAGAAAAGGAAAAGGACAGCAGAAAAAAGGTTCCACCAGCTGTACACTCAGACACCTCAGATCTGATTAGCTGTAGAAAATTCTCACTGTGCCAGTGTAATTTGTTTTAGTTTAGTTTTAGTTTTAGTGTTTTACGGCACTCGCAGCTGCATAAGGCCATATGAGCGCCAGAAGATTAGAGGTGTTAAAAGAGAGTAACAAGCATAAAAAAGAAGAGGAGATAAGGACGATAGTTTTCGAAAGGAAAGAAGGAGCAAACCACACCGGAGCACCCGCCAACCACCCACGTAATTTGTTTCCAGTTTACAGCAGACTAGTAAGGCAAAGAGCATCATTTTGCAAGTGACAGAACAAGGTAATACTAGCATGGAAAAGAAGTTGAAGGAAGGCACCACATTACAAAACCCACTGAACAACCATCAGACCCTGACTAAACACATTACTGATGATGGTCGTCATTAACACCTTGACACTTCTACAAACTCAAATCACATCAGCAGTCTTTCAGCTGACTTTAGATTTAACAGCACTATCAACACAATTTGGCCACACAGAAGATGGGAAGAAAATTCAACAATAGTTTATTTTAGTTTAGCTTAGTACGAGTTTTTCGGCGCTCGCAACTGCATAAGGTCATATGAGCGCCAGAAGATTAGAGGTGTTACAAGAGAGTAACAAACATAAGAAAGATGAAGGGGAGATAAGGACGATAGATGTTTGACAGGAAAGAAGAAGCAAACCACACCAGAGCACCCGCCAACAACCCACATTCAACAATAATCACATTGAATAAGAAATGACGGAGAAAAAAATCCCGCTCTTTATTAGGTCAAAAAGTTGTCAACCATGGAAACTATTTTATTGTAAAGACTCTGATGACGTCTCCATGAACGCTAATGGAGACCAGCCTTGACACCTGCATATGGTTTACATGCTTTTTAGTTTAAGAAAGAGCTTTACAGCACTTGAAACACAATAAGGTAATATAAGTGCCGAAGATTAGAGGTGTTACAAGAGAGCAACAAACACAAAAAAGAAGGAGAGATGAGTTTTTAGTTTAGTATGGGGTTTTATGGCGTTCGCAACTGCATAAGGTCATATGAATGCGCGAAACACAAGTTAGTTTTTTATACGTAGTTCACTGCACAGCTGGTTACGGGTCATTAGATCTTAAAACGTTAAAATATTAAAAATTTTGTGTAGATATATAATTTCAGTCTAAAAACAACTTTCATAAAAAAATTTTAATAATTCAATTTTGTTCTACACTACAATTTCCCATAAAGGCCAATGGCCTTCATGAAATCCAAAATTCTGTTGGGACCAACGACGGAAAAAATGTCCTGCAATTTTTTGCATTTAAAGTATTTCCTTCGCATCTCTCCAAAGTCTAGACATTCAGTTAAAATGTGTCTAATGGTAAAATCTGTGTCGGATGCGACACGGAACGGCTTCTCATCTCCCTGAAGGAGGTATTTGTGTGTTAGGGCCGTGTGTCCGATGCGTAATCGAGTAAAAATGACTTCGTCTCTTCTGGAGAGGTCCGGAGGATTTCGCGGTCCCAGTTTGGGTTTACTATTGTGGAGTTTGTTACTCGTCTGTTTTTTTCCAATGGCTCTCCCACAGGCTGGAGGGGTACTTTTTTACTTTATTTTTAAAGTCAGTCTGTGGGAGAGTGTTTGTCGTTGATCCCAACAGAAGGGATGAGGATTTCTTCGCCAGGTCATCTACCTGCCCGTTTCCTCGGAAGTCCACATGGCTAGGTATCCATGCAAACATGATACTTTTCCCTGTTTCAGATAGGGTGTGAATTTTCTGTTGTAACCTAACTATTTTTGGGTGTAGGAGTGTGTATTTTGTGAGTGAGGTGATGCAAGACAGAGAGTCAGAAAGGATAAGGAAAGATTTGTTTGGAGAATTTTCTTCGGAGTCCAGTGCCATGTCAATGGCAGTGGCCTCCGCAGAGAAAACGGAGGCTTCAGGATGGAGTCTGGAGGAGAGATAAGGACGACAGATGTTTGATAGCAAAGAAGGAGCAAACCGCACCAGAGCACCCCCCCAACCACCCACATTTTGAGTAAAGAGTAGCAATCCCACACAGTAAAGGTCATTTGGTGCAGGGGGGGGTGGGGAGACAAAAACAGACAGGAACAATAGAAAGAAAGACCAGTAGTGGACCCTACGAGTGGCGTCCACCAATGACACCCCACCCCACCCCACCCCACCCGCCTTGCATGAAGTCAGCAAACATTATCTTGTAAGGTAAAAATCCACTTTCTCTCCTTGATATGCCCAGAAATAGAAATCAATTGATTTACTTTATTTGCTATACAGCAATAGAAATCATTTGATTTCCTTTATTTCCTGTACAGCAAAATGAAGCAAAGACAACCAAGACTAGCAGTGATCATTACCTAACCTTACATAAATATAAAAGATTCTTCACAAAGACATAAAGAGTAACAGAACCATTTGGAAAAAAAATAGCACCTTGGACACACAAAACATATTACAACTGACCTTTCTCATGGCTTTGGCGTGTATGAAATGTTCATTACACCAACTGGATGAGTACCTGGGGTAATAAAATGAGGAAAAAACATTGTCATATATATATATATATATATATATATATATATATATATATATATAATACAAATAAGATATAAGGAATGATTGGCTCTTGATGAATCCATAAGAAACCAAGACATCAAAAGCAATAAATATCAGGAACATCTGACGTATTATAACGTGAATCAAACCTAAAGACTGCATACTGCACCAAGCCTGGCAACGTGAGTACAATCAAATCATTTATTAAAGACATGCCAGATACATTCCAAGCAAAGGGGAAGTAATCTAAAAAACTTAAAATGTGTTTTAAGTACAGTTATCCCTCCTGGAGTCGCAAGCTCAGAAGGTTGCCGTGGTTTTTCAAAACATTTTTAAAAATCCTTCCGAAAAATTGTGAGGCATCGTGGCGGAATCAGGCTCTCGTCAATTTTGGGGCATGTAGAGTTATTGGTATCATCTTAAAGCTTGTTCACTTGTCTTTATTTGAATGAAAAAATATCCATTTATCTTGAATACCAGTCGAGATATTTGCCAAAGAAGGAGGTGGGGGTCACCTGTTTTCAGAGGTAAAATTAGTGAGAAAGTGGCCGCCAAAGATTAGTTATTTCCTTAGCTTAAGAGTCCGTGGTAACTGAAAATTTACATTTTTTGTGCCTTTAATCAACATTTTTCAGAAAAATCCGAACAGAAATGAGTTCTTTAATGGGCATGAAAGGTGTTCAGCCAAAAAATGAAAATCTGATACCAATTCAGAAACATGCGGATAAATGCAAGTTTCTTCACTTTGATTATTTTGACGAGAGCCTGATTCCACCACGCTGCCTCACAATTCACATTAATTTAGAAACTCAAGATAGCTTCGGTGATATTTTGAACAGAACGTAATATTCTGTAACTGACTGTCCTGCTTTTGTAAGGATTGGGGAAACAAATCGTCTATGTTGTTCTATGAATAAAGCTTATCATGTTCATTATTCATAACGTTCCTCCATTCACCCTGGCCCAACATTACCATACGCAATTACGTTCTCAGGATCTGAGCTGATCTGCCGGTTCTCTGGAATACCCGCGTATGGTTTGTGTCAGCCGAAGCCTGGGAAATATTTCTATTATGTAGTCCCACGTTTTGCTGCTCTTCCAATCTCACAGATAATTCTACCTTGGTGTTTGTTGTTTCAGTCTTGTATACAGTTCAAACAAGAAGACTGCTGCCTCGAATTTATTTTCAGAAAAGATTAGGTGTAATGAAATCTAAACATAGTTTGCTGTTAACTTCAGTATCATAGTATAGACCAAGAGCAGAAACACACAGAAACCACACAAACACACACATGGAGGAAGGCACACACACACACACACACACACACACACACACACACACATACACACACACACACACACATACACAGAGAGGGAGAGGTGGGTGGTTGGCGGGTGCTCTGGTGTGGTTTGCTCCTTCTTTCCTATCAAACATCTATCGCCCTTATCTCCCCTTCTTCTTTTTTATGTTTGTTACTCTCTTGTAACACCTCTAATCTTCTGGAGCCCATATGACCTTATGCAGTTGCGAGCGCCGTAAAACCTCTACTAAAAAAAGAGAGAGAGAGAGAGAAAGAGAGAGAGGGGGGAGGGAGAGTAGAGAGAGAGAGAGAGAAGGAATGAGAGAAAGAGAGAGACACACGGGCGGGGGTGGGAGAGGGAGAGAGGGAGAAAAAAGAGAGAGAGAGAAAGAGAGAGAGAGATACATATAATATTATACAGCAAAGTAAGCCAAATTTATGTAACTTATCTTAACGGTTCATAATTATATAACCTGGTTTCCGCGGCTACTTACATCAAAGCGCATAACCTCAAAGGGTCACACTCGCGGCAGCTTCCTTGCTTAGTCAGGATTCATAAACTCGGACTTAAGCAACGTGGTCTACGGCCAAGAACACAGATAACGGTCTATTCCATAGACCTATACTCCATAGACCTATAATTATAATAATAGGTCTATGGTCTATTCGATACAAATCTAGCCCGAGCAAGCGAGCAAGAGAAAAGCACCTCAGTGCCCCGTGTTCTCTCTCTGTGTGTGTGTGTGTGTGTGTGTGTGTGTGTGTGTGTGTGTGTGTGTGTGTGTGTCAGTTCGACACTGCCAGTAACAGAAGAACTCGCCGCGCTATTAATAGGTGTTTTCTTACTCACTCAAGCTTTTCCCAAATGTGAGGAATCGTTGGGAACACTCTACTTGAATCCTGCATTTGGAGATTACTTTTAGATTAGTTTAGTAGCGGTTTTACGGCGCTCGCAACTACATACGGTCATATGAGCACCAGAAGATTAGCGTGTTACAAGAGAGTAGCAAACATAAAAAAGAAGAAGAGGAGATAAGGACGATAGATCTTTGATAGGAAGGAAGGGCACCCGCCAACCACCCGCAGGAGATTACTTTGATCTACTACCACAGAATGTAGAATTCTGTGTCTACTACGCACACCCCCGGTGTCTTCACTCACATGCGGATAACTTGAGAACGACAGATGTACGCCATTGGCCGATATGTATAGTAACAGCTATCTTGTTTGACGTCATTGTGAGATTCCCACTTTGTTGTCATTCACGGTGACAACACGACCACAAATCACTATTGTAGTATTTTCAAAGCCTGCAGCTTACAGTGGCGTGGTGGTGGTGGAGTGGCTAGTGCTCTTGTCTCCAAAGCAGAAAGTCCAGGTTTGAGCAAGGCTTTTCTTTTTTGCTAAATGACGTCGAACAAGATAGCTGTTACTATAAATATCGGCCAATGGCGTACATCTGTCGTTTTAAAGTTATCCGCATGTTCTTCATTCTATGTTGAGTCGCATGCAGGTCATCATGACGGCATGCACAAAAAAAAACCTTTTAATTAATTTCAAAAGTTGGGACGGGGTTCTGCTTTAGTAGAATTTTACTGAATTCTCTCACTGACTTTTTAATGTAAGGGTTCTTTACACCCCTAGCGATTTGATTTAGAGGCGGCTTCCGATCCTGCCTGCCTGTCAGTGTCAACCCGGGGTGAGAAGGATACAGCATCCCAGCAGAAAGGACGAGATACACGATAAAAATGCTCGTTTTAGTAGAGGTTTTACGGCGCTCGCAACTGCATAAGGTCATATGAGCGCCAGAAGATTAGAGGTGTTACAAGAGAGAAACAAACATAAAAAAAGAATGGGGAGATAAGAACGATAGATGTTTGATAGCTACTCGGGAATCGAACTCGGGTCTCCTGCATGCGACAGCCTAATCGCTACACCACAGACGCCGGTCTGAATTCTCTATTATATTCTCGGTCTAAGACTATGCCTGACCCTCATGCTCTCTCTCTCTCTCTCTCTCTCTCTCTCACTCTCACACACACACTCTCTCTTCTTTTCTTTCTCTCTCTCTCTCTCTCTCTCTCTCTCTCTCTCACTCTCACACACACACTCTCTCTTCTTTTCTTTCTCTCTCTCTCTCTTTATCGTGTGTGTGTGCGCGCGCGCGTGTGTGTGTGTGTGGGGG